TTCTGAAGCCAAAATACCACTGTCTTGGCTCAAAAATAAAAATCAATATTTGTTGCAGAATGAGCTTTTTGGAAAAAATGAGTTTTTTTGTATCTACTTTTGCTAGACACAAACATTTGCGCTCACACAAGTAGGTCAATTCTTAATTGTAAATCTCGTGTCTAATGCTGCCCAATTGCCATTAATATGCTCTTGACCTTGCATCTCCTGGCTCTTCTCCCCAAGGAAGGGGGAGTGACTTCAACCAATTGATGAGATTTTTGACCAGGAATTGGACAGGCAGAGCCCCACCCCTTCCTTGATGCTTCGCCTTGAGAGAGAGCTTCCTGGATGATGCCAGTGTGGTTCCTCTGTGCTCCGGGGCTTTGCCTGGCCAGTGTGTCCTGTCGTGTAAATCGGTTTTATTCTAGAAGTCAGTAGGGTATACCACTTGGCTGCAGATAAAAATCACATGCTTCTTTATTGTTTTTTGCAGTCCTAACCGAAATGTTTTGGCCTCTACGAGATCCAGGCAAAGGAAGACAGCATTAGGTATGGGATCCTCTTCAAATGCATCAATATGTCCCTGTGAAATCATTATTTTTATTATTTCCACTTTAGAGATAAATAAAATGAAATTCAGCAGCTAAATTCTTTGCCCAACACCATTTGAACCATTACAGATAACCCTGAGTCTTGCCACAGTATGCTGATTCTAAATAATATACTTGAAAAAGGGCGACATATGGACTTAATAGTGTATCAGTACTGGTTCATCAATTGTAACAAATACACCACATACTGATGTTAGATGGTAATAACAGGGGAACCTAGGTGCAGAGAATACGGGAGTTCTTTCTTCTGTCTTCGTTGTTTTTTTGAAAATTTAAAACTGTTCAAAAAATAAATTTTTTTTAAAGACATTACATGTGAAATGAATGGCATCATAAAAAAAGGATACTATTTCTGAATTTTTTTTTCTGGCTGCTAAATAAAAATAATAAAGCCTCTAGTTTGAGTATATCTGGATTCCCTCACTCCCAGGTCTGGCAGAGTGCATGGGTCAAGAAGGCTTTAGAGGCAGACCTTGATTTGAATCACAGATCTGTGACTTGCTACCAGTCTGAGCCTGAGCTTCGTCACCTGTAAAAGGGACCTATACCTGGCTAATGAGATGGCTGAATGAGTTAAATGATACACTGTTGGCTATTATAATAGTAGTGCCTAAAATAATAAGAGTGCCTAGAACAGTGTTTGGCATAGACTAAGTACCCTACCCTCTCTCCGCCCAGCCCCATTCTGATTCAGTGTGCCTGATGTGGAGCCCAGAGTCTGCTGTGAAGTGCTCCCTAGGTGATTCTAATGGTTTGGGAACCGTGAGTGAAGGCTGACCTCTCCTGCAGGCGAAGTGCTTCAGCTGACTTCCTGGACTGTCAGAAATAGCCTCCCTGGCTGGATTTTAAAGCTCACTGTCCCCTTGAGGCTTTTCCCCCAAGTTCCTTCATGTGGTCCTCATCTGACACTGTTTCCTTTCCAAACCAGGGATGCTAGCCAGTCCTGAGCTCGAGGGAAGATCCCATCAACTCTGCTTATTTCCTTATTTAACTCTGTTTTCCTTCAGCTCTGATTCTTGAAGAATTTCAAAGAGTGAGGAATCCTTTCCAATGTACTGGAATTACATTCTTGCCACATACACTATTTTCACTATTATAACCATACAACCAATAACTCCTAACAGCTGTGTGGAGAGCTATGATAGATGTTCTTAATACACCAATATCCTCCTGCCTTGAATTCTACCAACATCCTGTGGCTTCCCCTGGCTCTAAGGTGCTTAAGATTCTGTCATTTCGTAGACCCTTCCACCACAATGACAAGGTAGAGGGTACCTTTTCTCTGTGATTGCTTTCTTATCACTCATGGAATATATCAGAGTCTTGGGAGAACAGATGGAGATAGGAGGAGTGGAGGCAAGAAGGGGTTAAAACAGGAAGAACTGTAAGCTTCAAGGAGAGAAAATTCTTTTAGCTGCCTCTAAAAATATTTAAGCTTCATTTGGAGAGAAACTTTTTAAAAAATCTTCCTACTAGAATAGCATAAGTGAAAAAAATACAAAGATAAGACACAAAACAGGAAATGATAAGAAACCTCAAACAATTTTATTATATAATTGGCGATGTATTGATGGTATATTGATGCATTTTCTCTTTAAGAGAAGATTAACTTGCATAGAATGGTCAGCTAGGCTGTTATAAAGTGCCTTCTACCACATGTTGAGTCAAACCCGATTCTTTCTGTACGTGTGGTACATAAAGCCTTTGCACCATTGCTGTCCTTGTCTTCTAGTACCAGTGTCATTCATGGTTTTTATGGATTCTCTACAGCATCCATTTCCCATTGTGCTTGTGGTAGCATTCTAATCCTTTTAGGGAGTCACTCCTTCCCCTACTCAAGTGTGATGCATGAGCCACCTCACATGCTCCAAGGGTGGCAGGTGTCCCAGGTTTGGCCAGTCAGAGTATTCCACTACTCTAGCCCATGTGTTGGTACAGTGATGGGTACTTGATTCATTCAAAGCCAGTAAGACTCAAATCTGGGATTTTTGTGGGAACCATTGAGAGAAGGTGTCTCTCTCTTCAATATCAGTCTAAGCCTGACAGTGACAGTGACCACTATATGGAGAGGGTCAGCCTGATGTCAAATCCCACAGAGGATAGCAGAGCTGAGAGATGATGAGAGAGATTCTTTATAGTTCTAAAGTCATGGATCCAATCAGATTGAAGGCCCTCTTCTTGTCTCTTATCAGGACAAATAAATTCCCTTTTCTACTTAAGCCCATTTAAATTGGGGTTTTTGTCATTTGCAACCTGAAGGGTCTTGATTAATATAGTGTTTGACAATACTGATTTGTCTATAATGTAAAGCAACATTTTTAAGAAAAAAGGAATTCTTTTTTTGGTAGTATGAACATCTGAGAAAATAACTCTCCCAATGTCTCAAAATTGGATCAAAGAATATTTCTCATTTAAGGCAATACTACTGAGCACCTGCCGTGCTCCAGACACGTGCTCAGGGCTGAGCTGAGAGCCTTTGCTTCCATCCTCACATCAAGTATCTCCATGTTGCAGATGAGGAAACTGAAGCCAAGAGCCAGCATTTGAACCCAAAATCCATGCCCTCAATTACCTCTCCTCTTGGATGGTTTCATACTAGAAACATGTATAATTTAGATACCAGTTTAAGGGTAACCTTTGTGTGTGTGTGTGTGTGTGTGTGTGTGTGTGTGTGTGTGTATTCATGTATAGTCAGTTTACAATGTTGTAAGGGTAACCTTTTAAAAATGTAGGTCATGCATTCTAAAACATAAGCAGAAATATCTGAAAAGACTCCTGTTCCTTGTGAATATTAATGTTGCTGTTGTCACATAAGCTCAGTCCCCAGGCCTCCCTCTCCTCTCCACAGCTCCCATCTGTGGCTGCTGTCTTCTCAGTGTTGCTGACCCCACTTGTGGACACCCCCCCGCCCCCGCCCCGTCCACCAGGCACTCAGCACCACTTGCATCCTGCTGTAGAGCAGGATGTTACAGCACGTGAATTCTGGTGACTGCCATTCTTTAATTTCTTCAGCCATCCCTAACGCTGGAAAGTTCTCATGGATCATCTTGCCTCATGCTGGTTCATAGCAGTACTCTGGGACCTTTTCTGATCTCCTCCTCAAGTCCCTAACCCCCAAGCCTCCTGGCCCTTGGGCTCCCCTGAGAAAGCAAAACATTCTCAATGTTTGAATAAGCAGCGCAGTTTAGCTCTCCTGTGTCTGTCTTTCCCGTTCAGATTAACTCAGATCTCTACCAAAAACTCCACATTTTCTTGTATGGGGGGGGGAAGAGGGAGGGAAGTAGGTTTGTTTGTTTGTTTGTTTATTTTTAATGGAATAACTGGGGATTAAACCCAGGACCTGTGCATGCTAAGCATTTGCTCTACCACTAAGCTATACCTTCCCCTCAAATTCACATTTTCTTTAAAAAAAAAAATCCTTCTAGAGGGTTTCTACCCCTAGTAGTACAAAAATCAAGAAGCTTGAAATGATCTTTTTTGTACTACCTTATTTTATAATTGCAGTTGTGTAAAGGCAAGGAATAGCCTGAGTCTCCCTCCATTTCTCATGGTGTGTGTTGCTATCTAGAACAGACAGTACGAAGGGAATAAATGGTGGTTCATGCAGTGTGCGCTGAACAGCCAAGCTCCTTTTTCCCTCTGATGCTGTTACATAGACCTGACTCCTTTGGAAATTGCTCTCTGGGATATGAAACTTGGAGAATAGCTACACTGACTTCAACATTATAACACATTTGAAGTTCCAAGTTTAGTGTTCCAGGGAATACTGAGAACTTGAGACAACCCAAACATGAAAGCCCCACAAAGACCAAAGAATCAACCTCATCTTCACTAAACCAGTGTGGGCCATGTATCCTCATCTCCACCATGTCCGAACACATGGTGGATGATGGGTGATGCCCAGACATCCAGATTTTGAAAGTTTCCCTTGAAAATATTCTGATCATCACTGAATTTTCAAATAGCATTTTAGGGGTTCAAATGTTAATAAAGAGAGAGAGATGTACAAGGGCCTTGATTTCTCTGTGTGGAAAATGGACACACTGTAGTATCGTCTCTCGATCTGCTGAGTCAGGTATTCTAAGAAGGAACTGGAATTTGACTGCTTTGTGCTTTGGGCTCTTGAGAGGAATAACATTTTTAGAGATCATCGTTAAAATTCATAAATGAAAGAACTTTACCAGATCAAAGAAATTCAATATTTTTGGTTGTAACTTACCTTTAAATTTTATCAGTGCCTTTAAAATGCTTGCTTACCATGAATCACTTTGGATGATTATTTTAAACAATTAGTGGCAGCCCAGTGCTCCGTGATACAAAGATTGATGGTTGTACCCCAGCCCCACATTGGCGCATTCCTTTGCCGACATTATTTGGAGGATTACAATCAGTATAGAACAGCTCTTTGAACAAATCATATTAGATTGTTGGCTTGGGGATGTGCACACTTGCATTTAATATCTTTTTGTCTTTAATTCAGATTATTTCGTCTGAGGATGGGAGGAAGAAAGAATGATGTTAGCCTACAGCTTCTCTGTGATGGTGATGGAAATTCAGAAAGAACGAGGTGATTTTCTCTGCTGTTGATGGCAAGGTCCCTCGCCTCAGAATCTGAAGGGATGACAAATGAAGGGATCCTCTCCCTCCCTGTGAGCTTTGCAAATCAGAAATGACATTCCTTTCCTGGAGTGTGATGCTTTTGTAAATGTGATTTTACACTTTCTGAAAGCTATGCTTTCTTGATCCAATAGTGTATTTGGGGAGGCTAGAATTACTTGGGGGAACTTTTTCAAGTAGATGTATACACACACACCCCACACTCACTTTTAAACTTGCAAATTAGAGTTAGAGGATAAATTTGATTTAAAAAATTAGCCAAGTAGACAAAATTGCTTTGGGAAGTTCATGGGGGGTAGGTAGTGATTACTGGTTTCTCTGCCTCTGTTTTATTATTATCACAAATCTTAGAAAAGGCAAAGAAGAAATCAGGTTAGACTTGCTATGGGCAAGAATTATTGGAAAAAGAAAAATACTGATTGTTATATTATCTTTATTTTCAGTCTGCTGCTGCTGCGTAAGTATGTGTATCCTTTCATTAGCATCGTTTGGTGGTGCTTATTAACTCATAAATAAGACATTGCTTTTTTGAATCATTTATTGAAAGTATACTTGCTGTAAAAATTAGAAAAGGAAGGCATTTGTTTTAGACAGGTAAGAAATGCATGTAAAACCTGCTAAATTAATTTATTATTACCCTTTATATAAATTTTATTTAATGTCTTCATTTTATTCTTAGCCTAGGTGATAAATCGTAATAATAGAACCACGTTTAAAAATACTTAAATGATTAATTTCTTGCTAAAGGAATACAAGTTCAAAATTAAACATAATCTTGTACTAATTTATTTTCATAAAACTAAGAGCCTACAGAGGTATAATTTTTAGCAAAATTACATTATAAGTATGTTTTCAGCACAAAATATTGTTTCAGAATCCAGTGGGTTGAATTTATGAAATCCAGTTTATTTCATCTTCAATTCCAAATTAATGCTGTGAAAGTAGGAACCTGAGGTAATTTTGTATAGTAGCATAACAGCTGCACAGTACTGATTTTAAACATTCGGTAGGAAGCCAGACACGGCTATCTGAGGTGGAGGAATTAGGTGAGTGGGCCATTGATCAAAGGGTACCGGTATTAAAAAATACTATCATTTGCTCAGTTTGAAAATTAGAAATGTTTTGTCAAACTACTTGTCACTGACATCACTGCTTGTAAGAACCAGAAGTTCGTGCTTCAGATCCTTCCTAATACAGCTTTGAATTCCGTCTAAGGGGTATCATGTCCCAGCAACTTTTAGTCCAACAATACCAACTAAACTAAATGTATATTTGCATCTGTTTCCCCAAATGCACGGAGCCAAAGAAAGTTACCTAGAATTCATTTTCCAGACACAAATATAATGATGAGATACTGCTAATAAACTTTCAGGAAGGGCCCTGGTCTGGCCCCAGCCCACTCTGTTCTCATTCCTGATGCCCTTCTGTGTACATCTTATTCAGCTGCTCCTTTTATCTCAACATATCATGCTTAATCTTGCCTCTTTGCCATAATCCTACTACTTTCTCCCTGAATACTCTTCGCTTTCTCAACATGATAAGCTATTTTTCATTCTTCAAGACATGGCTCAAATTTTAATGCCCATAGGAAGTCTTCTTGACCACCCCCTCCTCCCCGTGCAGTTAATCAACTTCACCATTTTCTTCCCACAGCACAGCATTTAAATACGTCTCTCCTGCTGGACCATGAGTCTTTCCCAGCAGACTGTGAGCTTCTTGAAAGCAATGGTGATGTCTCTTTCATGTTTGTTTATATTCCCATCCCACTCACTGCTCTCTCACAGTACTGCCTAGCACAGTGTCTGGCATAGGGAATGCTAAATCAATCTGATCCTTGTTGCTCCGAAGTGCAACTAAAGAAGATGACGTTTGTGTGATTAGGCAAGAAGCAAACAAATCTATACAACTTAAATCAAAAAAGTACACATAATTTTTGCAGTTTAAACCAAAAATTTTATTCAGAGAATTAAAAATTGGAAAGTTAACTATTTATGGTAAGTACAGAAATTAAATGTAAATCATCAGGAGTTTGTAGAGGAGACAGTGGTTGGAGGCAGAGGGAGTATCTAAGTCCTGTTTAGTACATGCTGAGTTCCTAAAGAGAGTGAACTGTAGTGACCAAAACAGCTCATTTTGACAGGCATTATGGCTTTGATTCACCAGTGGTTTTTCTGTGTGTTTGGGTTGTTTCAATGGCCTGATTTTTGTAATATATAATCACAGTACTTTGTTTAAAAAAAAAAACATGCCAACAAGGGTCCTGTTGCTTATACTACATGGTAGGGTGATCCTCTTTAAGAAAAACACAAAATCACAAAGGTAAAATTATGTATGAAAGCAAATATTTATATAGAACAAGAACAAATTGCAATTTTTAGAAGGTGACAAATACCACAAACATCACAAAACCCAGAAAAAGAAAACATATTTTTTTTAAATTAATAGCCTCTATAATACTTTCCCTACATTTTTGACTGGAAGCCCATTGATTTTTTTCATCTCACAATAGTTTTATCACTTTCTGTTGAAACATAATTCAGTTTCATCTCTAGCATGTTTTTCCTAATCTACTCACATTCTACCCAATGCTGGTCACTTAGGGACATGTTCTTATTCTGAGAGACCCCTGGCTTTGTACCTTTTTGTGGTGCTGATAAGTCAGCATAGTGGGCAATTAGAGTGTTTCTGGAAGCCATTTCTATGCCAGAAAGGCTGGCCATGCTTTACCTACATATGGAAGTGAGGAGACTTACAAAAACATATCCCAAACACCATGCGTTACCAACTGTACTTTCCTTACTCAAGTCCACAAAATGCCTGTGGCTGCTGCAATAAACCAGTTAGACACAGAGAAAATGTGACAGAGAAGAACAGAACGGAAAGAGGAAAACAGTCTTAGCGGATGATGGTGAAACTATCTAACTTGTGCAAATTTTACAGAATTAATTTGACCATGGGAATACAACAGTAAGGCCCCTCCCAGAGCATCAGAAGGGACCCTTTCAGTAGAAGGGCCTCAAGACTAAAATCCATCTCTCACCTAATGCAAGTGAAAGAGAAAAATCACTTATATCCCCAATCCTCACCTGGAAATGAGAACAACAAAGGCTGCTGGCAAAGAATACAGTCAAAACTCAAAGGTCCATTCTGTCTTATTAAGAAAACAGCCCTGTCTAATTCTCAGCAGATGTGAAGAGGAAGGGAGTGGGTAATGGAAAGAACATTGCTTTGCACAAAAATATGACTTACAAGACTTATGGATTCTGGAGAGAAAGGTGACTTGTAAGTTAGGAAATGGTTGGAAAAATATTTTCTCATTCCTACAGGTTTACATGGCTTTAGTCTAGGAGTCATAAGCTGGTAAAACATAAGTCATATTTAACCTGAAAGCAGGTTTTATTTGCCCCACAAAGTGTCTTTAATTAAAAAAAAATGAGCCAATGCAAACAAATTCGATTTCAAAACACAACATCTCTCCACATCACTCTGTGGCAACATGCAGCTCAGCTGGGCAAAGATGCCCCTGTGAGATGTAATGTGTCCCAGCTTGCACACTCCTCACGATTTACGCAGCCATGCAGAGGCTTTTTTTTTTTTTTTTTTTTAGCCCTTTTGGTTCTTGCTTAGGCCTGATTATTCTGTCTTCATCCTCTAGGGTGTTTGTGTTTGATCCAGCCGGCATGGCTGCACATCACACTTGTGAGGAGACCATGAGGGGCCCAATTTTATTTGGAGGCACTTCAGAGATGCATCCCAAGACTAGGAGAGACTGTTCTGTGGAAGGGGGACGCCAGTAGACCACGCTGATTGTACTGGTAATGGACTACTTCCTAGGACATTTTCTCAGATGCAGGAAAACTTACAGCTGGGAAGATCGTGTTGGGGAGGGGGACATGCTGTGCCAATAAGTAGGTTTGGGGTCTGGAGCTTTTTAAAAAGTACGTTGAGATTCACACAGGGAAACCAAGAAAGAGGAAAGACGTTGGGAGAAAGATGACAATTTAAAAACAAAAGAAGCAATTTAGAACAGTGAGGTAATCCAAATAGGATCAGGTGAACATTTTAAATGATCAGATCCCTTCCCTTCGGGACTCTCAAGAGTCATTTTAAGCCCACGGCTTCCAGTGTCCCTCTCCTAGTGTGTAATTCTCTTCAGTTAACCAATGTGAAGGAAAGCACACCATCTTATATGGTGGTACAGAGAATTCTAAGGTTACTGGGCAATAAAGGAGAAGAGCAGACCCAACCCATCTGCTGATTCACTAGCACCTGCAGAGGCAGAAAAGCATCCAAGGGAAGAACCACGCCCAGAAGTGCCAGATGTGACCAGCAGGAAGGTGAGTACTGCCTACAGCAGAGCTGAATATTGGGGAGAAGAACATATGATTTTTTTCAAGCTCATTGCAAATATGCCATGTTGAAAGGCTTGCAAATTTCAGTTCCTGGCCCAAAGAAAGTACCTAAAAATTTTAGCCATCCTTATAATTTTTACTAATTAAAAAAAAAAAACGCTTTCCTGCTACTTGTGGATCATAAATTCTCATGAGTCAGGATACATTGGCAGTTGAACAGCTACATCCAGTCCTTTTGTCTGAAAATTTGTTAGTCTGTCTACTTTCCCACAGACCACACTATTCTCTACTGCTTTACATCTGAATGGTTTCCTTTTGTACATCACCTTTATAGACAGTTGAATTTTGACCTCTTTTAGACTAAACAAACTCCATGGGAAGGATAGAAAAAGTTACTCTGAGACAGGATTCCGATATGTTTTGAAAGAGAAGAAGGTGTTTAGAGGATCTGAGGGAAGAGGATATTCCAAAGGAGAAGCAACCTGTGAGCATGCACTTATCTCTATTTTCTAATTTTTTGAAATGCACACGTATCATCTAATTTTTATAAATACAAGAAATTTTTAAAAGACGAAGATTTTTTAATTGAAAAGATGGCTATTTAAAAAATAGATGAAGATCCGAATTGGCCATCTCCAGGGTGTTGGGAAAATGTATGGGAGTAAAAAATTATATTACTCTTGGAAAAACAAATTAAAGAATAAAAGATCTCAGGTTAAAAAATTGATAAAAAAAATACTATAAAGAAAAGGACAACTAGATACAGTTTAATAATATAATCAAATGAAAAAAAATTTAAATAGTCTGTTTATGATAAAAAAAATCGCCTGGTTTAAAATTATTTACATTTGAAATTTTTACAAACTTTCCTTGTAATGCAAGTATTACAAGGAAATAGTCACAGATGAATTAATGAATAAACACACACAAATTCACAAATTAAGCATAGAAATTATTATGAACATCAGATCCATATGTTTTGTAAAGAAATTTTTTTCAGTGTCAGCCTGTCTTTCAATCATTGCAGTTTTGTTAAAGAGAGGAAAAGGAAATTATTACTCAGAGATTAGTAATTGTTCAGGGAAATGAATCCTTCTGAAGGAATGTTTAGAAGGCAATTGCTGAGTGTTTGAATTCTAAGTTGCTAAAACTCCACCATGCCAGGAGAAAAAGGTGGCCACTGGCCAGGCATTGTTTCATCTCTGCATGTGGTCATCTTAAATCTGTAATACAGCAGATCTCTTGGTAATGTGCATCCAGTCTAAGATGCAGTGTGCAGCATTAATAAACAGAAATGAATATAATTGAGATCACTTTATTATATCTTCAAACAGGTTTTGAGCATCTGCTGCGCTGTACTCACCATTGGGAAGAAAAAAAAAAACGCGAGGCCCCAGAGAAGCTCTCTGATCCAGCAGGAGGTGGGGCAGGGGCAGGCAGGTAAAAGATGCTTAACAATATCTGTGGTATCATTTGAGTGACGAACAAGTGGATCAGGTAGTTAAGACCCAGGAAAGAAGGATCTGGAAGCTGGTTTTTACTGGGGACATGAACTTGGCTTGGGCCTTGAAGGAAGAGTTGTCACAAAGTCACAGACTAGGAGGTGAGAATTGTGGAAGCCGTACCCAGCATGAATAAAACTGAGTGGAGACAGTACTGAGAAGGGTGGGTCGTCAGTGCAAGAACACTTTGTGACAGCAAATCTGATCACACAAGTTAAGTAACTTTATAATCACAGTTCTGTCCACATGAAAACATTAGACAGCAAATCAAAAGGCTTTAATCTAACCTAGCTTCGGGTTTTCAATAAATTTCTTCTTCCTTCCTGTATTTTGTAAAAACTCTGCAATATTTTTGGTTATACTAGCAATATATACTCAATATTCTAAAAATCAGCAAAAATAAAGAGAATAAAAATTAGGGAAAAATCTCACCTCTGAAGTTACCACTATTAATATTTTCATAAACAGTATTGCTAGATTATTCTCCAAAAGTTATATCAGTGTATATTCTTATATGGAAAAATATATAATTAAAATTTTTATTTTAATTAAGAACATAAAATAATTTGTCAGGGTCGTTTGGTTAATTCCAGATTAGGTGTGGTTAAAATCATGGTCTTGAATTGCCGTCTAGTATTATTATGCAAATATTAGAGTAGAAGCAGTGATTCCCTAGACTAGGCAGAGGAGCAGATGTAACTCATGGTGATATGTTCTTATTTCTTCCTAGACTCATGACTGGGCGAAATGTGCTCTGTAAACTAAGTGCTGATAGATATGGCTACTGTGAAAACTAATTTTGCCAAAATTTTTACTTTAAAAATTATGATCAGGGAGGGGAATAGAAGGCAGGAAATTAATTTCACTGATTCAAAGAATTTTATATTTTGAAAACAGTGTTCAGTGTAAAATTACTCCATGGTGCATAGTCCTTGAAGCAGCTGCAGGAAATGTTTGAGGGGCTGGGATTTCCAGGAACTTAAAAAAAATTTTTTTTTAATCTTAAAAAAAAAAAAGATTTTGGTATGAGAAAGAAGAAAAGGCTGTCTGTGGGAGGAGAGCTGTGCCTTGAGGGTTTTTTTGGAGGGAAGGCATATCTGTTTATCTATTCATTTTTAGCTGAGGGACCACGAGGACAATGAAAAGAGATGGCATAAGATTTGTCCTTGTTTGGGTTTGAGTCTCTGGGTTAGAAGAAAAGAAAACCAAAAACTAATGGAAGTGGTTCCATGATACTTGGAGAGATTCTGGGCAAGATCTGAGGGCCTAGAACTGATGGAATTAACCCTTCTTGAGACTCTGAGACTCTGGCCTAAAGCAAACTGCTTTGATTCCTGGTGTCAAAGTGTAGCATGAAGTTAGAGAGGAGGCCACTCACACCGATGGAAACCAGAGTTTGGTTGGAATTTCCAGATAGAAACCAGCACTCCTCAGGTGCCTGGATGAGCAGTGGAGACCACACAAGACTCTGACCTTGTCCTTCTCACCACTGACGCCATCAGGAGGGCCAGTGTCGAGGCTTCTGCGAGTGGTATCAGGTGGGAGGTGGAGAAGAGGAGGAACAAAGGGCAGATGCTGTGACCCCAATGGACAGGTCCCCTTGGGGACTCCCAGGAATATCTGGGGGATACTTTGAAAGGGGGCTGATTTCCTTCTGGGTCAGGTGGGAAGGGAGGGCAGGTGGGTGAAGAAGAGCTCGGGCTGCTGAACCAGTGGGAAAAGCAAGCATGACCAAGTTTTGTAGTCAGGCCAGTGGGGTCTGCTTGTCTGAGCTCCATGTAGATATGCCTGAATTCTGTTGCTTTGTCCTCGATGACTTTGGGGGAATTTCAGACAAAAAGATACTGTCTTCCCTCCCATTGAAAACCACTACCTTGCTTCCTTCCATGTGATCATTTTCAATGACTGTACACTTCTGTATCAGATGCTTCCATCATATCTGATTCTGCGATCTTCCTTACTATTGGACACTTAGGCTGCTTTGGTTTTTGTGATTATGAATTATGAGGCAGTGAGCACTGTTCTTCATAGAGTTTTGAGTACAGCTATTATTATTTCCTTAGAATAAAGTCTCAGAAGGGAGATTTCTGGGTCAAAGAATACACAGAGTTTTAGGTTTTTAATAGCACTACAGATTATCCTCCAGAGCGTTGTGCCCATTTGTGCGCTCACCGGGAGGGCGCGCATGTTTGCCCACATCCATTTTAGCAATCGGATACCATTGTGTTAAGCACTGTTTCCATGTTGAATGAATGTCTATGAGTGAATAGCTCATATTGGTGAATACTGCTGTCTTGATTTTTAGCATATGTTTGATTATTATTATTAGTGAGATTAGGTAAGCTTTCCTTTATTGGCCATTTGTATTGCTTTCTGAAAAACACTTGAAAAAAACACCATGGCCTTTTAATGTGTGAAAGACAAAAAGAGGTAGTAAGCCTTAAATCAGAAGAGAATGTTCACATAAATTTTGGTGTGCTTTTTTTATGTAGAAAAAAAGAAAAGAAGGAAAGAAAAGGATGAAGGGAGGGAAGAAAGAAAACTGATGACCCAAGAATTGTTCTTTCATTGCAAAAATTCCATTTCTTTAAAAATTTCTGCTTCCTCCTGAAACTCTGCCCTGGCTTATGTGTGTGTGTGTGTATACCTGTGCAGATATACACATGCATATATACATGCATACACACACATACACACACACATATGTGTGCATATATCCTGTTGCCCTCGGGTTTGGTCAGGAATACCCAGAACTGGCCTGCAGACCAGTCACATTGTGGCACAGTGCCCCGAATATACTCCTTGGTGACAAGAAAGTGCTGTGTTGATACTTAAGTTTCCTGCCTTTTTTTTGTTTGCAAATGTAGTATGTTGGGCTACAGATACGGCCTCTGTTGGTGTGCACATAAAGTCCCCTAGTGACCTGCATAATCCCTGCCTACAGTCTGTGGTCTTGAGTGCAGGCAGGGGGAAACCATGAGAGAGTTTGGCTGCTTTCCTCATAGTAAGGGAAGGAAAGGGACTAACCATCAACCCCATTAACCGAGCACCTATGATTTCCTCCTCACAATTGCCCGGAGAGGTTTGTGTCTCTCACCCAAGCGTTTTGTAGTTGAGCCTCATGAGGTTCAGAGAAAGTAATTAAATCGCTTGAGGTGCCCTGGTGCAGTGCTGGAGTGACTAAAACCAGTGCTCCTCCCTCAGCTTTCAGCACCTACATGCCAGTCATTCGGGGATCAGTTTCAGAAATTTCGTTATACCTAAATAATATAGTAATGCATTCTAACTTAAATCAGCTCACTTTTTAAATTTAAAATGTTTCTTAAAAAGGAAATTATGGCAGGGAGGGTATAGCTCAGTGGTAGAGCACATGCTCAGCATGCATGAGGTCCTGGGTTCAATTCCCAGTACCTCCATTTAAAACAAACAAACAAACAAATAAACAAACAAACTTAATTACCCCCAAAAATAAATAAAAAGGAAATTATATGACTACTATAAATGGAAACCCAGTATCAATGGTCCTAAACAGAGAGTATAAAAATCTCCATGGGCAAAAACGCTTGTTTTTCAGCTCATCTTGAACCTATTTCCACCCTGACTGTGATTTTTAAATTTCTTTCTGTCTTTGGTGGTCCTAGGAGTCCTCGGTCAACCCCTATTTCCCACTCTGCTGCTCATTGAATAAATGTGAGGCTCTGTGTCTCCAAGCTTGGCCTGAGAGGCCCTCCCAGCCCCACCTCCAGGACTATGATACTCATCCTCTTGTGTATAGTCGGTCAGCGTGCATACTCTGGGAACCTCTGAAAACAAACTGCTTCCTGTCCTTCCCTTCTAAGAAAAAAATACTGAAGCCAGATACTGCTAGGGATCAAAATCCAAATGAAGAGTGCAGTTCTGAGGCATGTGAATTGCCCTAGTCATTCAGTAATGACTTTGGAAAAACACAAAGGGCCAATGTATCCTTTTTAGTAGATAACATTTCTCTTCTAAAGTTCTCCTCGGTGACATTTATTTATTTTTAGAGTCCTGTGGCTAGCAACCTAGACTGGGGCATGATTCATCTATTCATTTATGCTCTCTTTCGTGTTGAAGGCAATTGTTACCATTGAATGAATTCTGTCATCAACAAACCTAGTAGTTATGGCCACCAACACAGACAGATGGGCTAGTGGTGCCTTGGGCTTTTATTTTGCAGGCAGCCGTCGCCTCTCACTGGTTCCATTCAGAGTCTGAGAGGAAAAATTCTTTGTAGCTGCAGTGAATTTTCTTTGGAACATAAATTGTTAAATGTTTCTCTGAAAACTTCTTTGGGTGATGACATTTCAGTTGCTAGGTATAGCCTATTCCATTTAGATCTGCAGCTCCTTAATTCCTGTCCTATGGACACGTGCTCTAATTAAAGAGTTAGACTGTATCCCAGTGGAATCTACCCTTCAGGACAGCCAAGTTGCCAAGTTTCTTGTATTCTGCATAGCATCTTTATTCTGTTTTCTTTATCTGGACTCTTGTTAGTTTAAAGAAAAAGATCTTTCACAATTGAAAACAAAACAAAACCAGGAAGCTAGAAGAACAAGACTGTAAGTAAAATAAGCTTCCAATATATAAGGAGCCCTTAATCTACGTATGTAATTCATTCCCAAACTATAGACATTGGTTGTTTGGAAAACTATAGGAGAGGGGAAAAAAATCTCTTTCCCTCTACCCGCTGAGGTTCTCTGGCTAGGGCCCTATAAACTAGCCTGACAAAAAACAGATTAACAAGAGGGAAGCCTATGAATTTATTTACTATGAGTTTTGTATGACATGGTAGCCATCATAAGGAAGTGGAGCCCTGGAGAAACAGTCAAATCTGAGTGTTTTCAAACTAG